TGACTGTGCACAGATAATAAAATTTTCCTTTTCCTGTTATGTTCGCTTACTCTTTTCTTGTCTTCGTCCGTGTGCAGCTTATCAAGTCTCCAAAATGCTTGAAGCCTCTTCGTATGCAACTATTATATCCCATCATATGTGAAAAAATATGTCTTATGCGATTTGAAAAAGCACCTTTATAACATCCTATTTACATATCTAAGATTCAAAACTTTAATATTACATGCATACCACCCTATATTATTTTAATATCAAATATACCACTTATATTTCTTTCCTACCACTCATATATTTCATTTTTACCACTCATTTTTGATATGAAAATGACCTATAGGTGTTATGTATGTAATATTAAAGTTTTAAGTGTTAAATGTGTAAATAGAGTAGTATAAAGTGGTGTGTATGTAAATCTTCCTATATTTTTTTATTAGATTTAAATAAAAAATTGATTTTTAATAAGAAATAATGTAAAAAAAATTATATAAATGTTGTTATTGTCGTTTTTTTTTTGAAAAAAATAAGAGAGAAATGATTGTGATACCTCAATTTGTACCAAGTTCAAGAGCGCGCTGCTGGTCCCTCTCCTATCCGCCGTTTCTGATGAATAAAACGTCACTCTTCGTTCCGAAGGTCTGCAAGAAGAGAAATAAGAAAGTTCGCCGGCTAGCAATGCCGCCACGCTCCGTCGCCTTTCTTTTCCTTGTTCTCCTCCGGCTTTTTGTCGTGGTAGTCGCCGCACAGCAGCCGGGGAGTATGGCTGCTAGGCAGACAGAGATCGACGCGCTTACGGCATTCCGACTCAACCTTCAAGATCCACTTGGTGTGCTCTCCGGCTGGGACGGCTCTGCTGACTCCGCACCGTGCGCTTGGCGGGGTATAACATGCTCGCCGGTCGACGGCGGCCCTGTCGTTGAAGTTCGGCTCCCGCGGCTCCGTCTCTCGGGCCCCATCTCGGACCGTCTTGCTGACCTGCGCTTTCTCCGCAAGCTTAGCTTACCCTCTAACCTCTTTACTGGAACCATCCCTTCTTCGCTATCCAAACTTTCGGACCTCCGAACCCTTTTTCTTCAATACAACTCACTCAATGGTCCTCTTCCTCCCGCTCTCCTTTCCAACCTTACTAAACTCCAGATACTGAATGCCGCGGGAAACCGCCTCTCTGGCGTCGTTCCCGTCGTTTTCCTCCCAAACCTCCGCTACCTTGATCTCTCGTCCAACTCTTTTTCAGGCCAAATCCCGACTAACTTGTCATCAATGGCTCCGCGGGTCCAGCTTCTCAACCTCTCCTTCAATCGCTTACGAGGCACCATTCCGGGAGACCTTGGGCGGCTCCAGATGCTCCTTTATCTTTGGCTCGACTGGAACGAGCTCGAGGGGACGATTCCGGCGGTTCTGGCCAACTGCTCTTCTTTGCTTCACCTCAGTCTACAAGGGAACAAGCTCCAAGGTATCGTTCCGTCCGCCGTCGGCGAAATCCCTACACTTCAGGTTCTTTCGCTCTCCCATAACCGGCTTTCCGGACCGATCCCTTCTTCCATTTTCTACAACGCCTCCGCCGCGCACCCGCCGATGCTGCGGATCGTGCAGCTAGGGTACAATGCGCTATCCTATTTGCCCAATCCGCCGGAGGACCTAGCTCGGGCAGCGTTCACTTCCAGTGTTCTCCAAGTGTTCGATGTGAAGGAGAATCAGGTCGCCGGCCCGTTCCCAGTGTGGCTGTCCAACATCTCAAAGTTGACGGTTCTGGATCTCTCCAGGAACTCGTTTTCTGGTGATCTCCCGCCGGAAATGGGTAGATTACTCTCGTTGCAGGAGCTGCGTCTTGGGATGAACTCGATGAGTGGAAACATTCCCACGGAGATAGGAATGTGCAGCTCACTACATGTTCTCGAACTCGAGCATAACCGATTCTCTGGTTTAATACCGTCGGCTTTTGGTGATCTTCGAGAGATGAGAACGCTTCTTCTTGGTGGAAACCTGTTCTCTGGTTCGATACCGTCTAGTTTGGGCGGCCTATCACATCTCGACACTCTCTCATTATGGCAGAACAAACTTGGTGGAAGCATACCGGAAGAGATATTGAGGTTGAGCAACCTTACGTCCATGGACCTTTCCGGCAATAGATTCTCTGGCGAGATTCCGGCCAGTATCGGGAATCTAGAGGGATTGCAAAGCCTGAACTTAAGCAACAATTTTTTCTCAGGAAGCATACCGTCGACCATTGGAAAGCTTGGAAGGCTTAAATCACTAGACCTCAGTGGACAGGGAAACCTCTCCGGCGACCTTCCAGCGGAGCTCTTCGGGATGCCGAACCTTCAAGTGATCTCGCTTGCCGAAAACTCGTTCTCTGGTGAGTTTCCTGAAGGTTTCACCAGCTTATGGAGCCTGCAGCGTCTCAATCTGACGTCCAACTCGTTCAAAGGAGGCATCCCTCCCACCTACGGCTATCTGCAGTCCCTGCAAGTTCTCTCCATCTCCAAAAATAATCTCTCTGGCCAGATTCCAGCGGAGCTTGGCAACTGCTCTAACCTCACCACCATCCAGCTCCAGGAAAACCACCTCTCAGGCAGCATTCCCCCGGATCTCTCGCGGCTTTCCAACTTAGAAGAACTCGACCTCAGCGAAAATTTCCTTTCTGGAGGAATGCCTACGGAGATTTCGCAATGTTCGTCGCTGTCCACTCTCCTCCTAGACAAAAACAATCTCTCCGGAAGCATCCCGGAGACCCTCTCGAATTTGTCCAAGCTGCAAAGGCTCGATCTCTCCTCAAACAACTTTAGCGGCACTATTCCTGCCAGCCTTGCAGTTCTGAACAGATTGAACTACTTCAATGTATCATCCAACAATTTGGAGGGCGAGATACCGCCAATGTTGTCCTCACGATTCGAGAATGCCTCTCTGTTCGACGGAAATCCTGCCCTTTGCGGCCAACCGTTGGCCAATAACTGCGGCGGAAAAAAGAGGTGGACGCGATCGATCCTCTTCATCTCCCTCGCCGCAGCATTGGCGGTCATCACCCTCACAACAGTCTATTGCTGCTGCGTCTGCTTTGTAATCCGATGGCGGCAGCGGTTTCTTGAGAGGCGTGACGGGCCGAAGAAGCGTAGCCCAGGCCGAGGGAGCGGGTCGAGCTCCGGCAGCGCTGGCGAGAACGGTGGGCCAAAGCTGATCATGTTCCAGAACAAGATCACGTACGCTGAGACATTGGAGGCGACCAGGCAGTTTGACGAGGAAAACGTGTTGAGCCGCGGGCGCCACGGGCTTGTCTTCAAGGCCTGCTACAGCGACGGCACGGTGCTATCGATCCTCCGGCTGCCGTCAACCTCCGCCGACGGGGCGGTGGTGGTGGAGGAAGGCTTTTTCCGTAAGGAAGCGGAATCGCTTGGGAAGGTAAAGCACAGGAACCTGACCGTGCTCCGTGGTTACTACGCTGGCCCGCCGCCGGACGTCCGACTGTTGATCTACGATTACATGCCGAACGGTAACCTTGCGACACTGCTCCAGGAAGCATCGCACCAAGACGGCCACGTGCTTAACTGGCCGATGCGGCACCTGATCGCGCTCGGCGTGGCGCGGGGTCTCGCGTTCCTTCATTCCGCCAACGTTGTCCACGGCGACGTGAAGCCACAGAACGTGTTGTTTGATGCAGATTTTGAACCACATTTGTCTGATTTTGGGCTGGAGCGGATGACGGTGACGGCGGGGGCGGCGGCCGAGGCTGCGGCGTCGACGTCATCCGCAGCGGCGGGGGTAGTTGGTTCGTTGGGGTACGTGGCGCCGGACGCTGCTGCGGCTGGACAGGCGACGAGGGAAGGGGATGTGTTCAGCTTCGGGATCGTTCTATTGGAGCTACTTACGGGACGGCGGCCGGGGACGTTCACCGGGGAAGAGGAAGAGGAGGATATCGTGAAGTGGGTGAAAAGGCAGCTGCAGCGAGGCCAGATTACGGAATTACTGGAACCCGGATTATTGGAGCTCGATCCCGAGTCTGCGGAGTGGGAAGAATTTCTTCTTGGCATCAAGGTCGGGCTGCTCTGCACCGCTCCCGGCCCAGCCGAGCGCCCCACCATGGCCGACGTAGTATTCATGCTCGAAGGCTGCCGCGTCGGTCCCGACATTCCATCATCCACCGATCCAACCTCGCAGCCCTCTCCATCTTAACTCCCCACCCCGCCGCCAATCGCCGCCGGTGATCCTCCCTCCCGCGGCCTTCTATTTGTTTATCTTTTTCCCGCCGTTCCGTTTCGCTTTCCCGGGTTTCCTGGTTCATTTCAAATTGATTTTTGATTTTTGATTTTTTGTTTAAATTTTGTTTCCCTTTCTTCATCCGACCGATTCGCGAAGTTGGGGGGGTGGTGGGGGCCCAAAGTGGCATCCAAAGGCATTGAAAAGGAGCAGAAATGTATAAGATATAGCCGTTGGGCGTCTTCGGCGTTGCAGTCCAAGCTATCTTTTTCCATGGAGGAAGAGATGCTTGCTTTTACTAAGTGAAGGTGGAAAAAGCCAAATTCGGTCATCTGCTGAAGGATCCAGCGAGGGGACTGCCGGTCCCTTTATTTTCACGTGGGGTAGCAGTCGGGGGTGATGGGTGCACGATATTGGGGACAGAAGGTAGCACAGGGTGCAGTTTGATGTGGGGGCCATAACGGCCGGACTTTGATTAGGATGGCTGGCTTTTTGATTCCATGTAATTCAAAGAAATGATTTGCACCAACATTTATGACGATTTTTTGTTATTAGTTTATCTTTATTTTTTTGGAGGATTCTTGAGGAGAGATTATTAGCGCCGTGTCCGGGTTGTTCGAAGTCGAATCTGGATGCGCCACATCACCCTGATGCATCTGGCCCTGAGTGACGTGGCTGACCCGAATTCACCTCCGAATGAATTCGGACGCCACACCTGATAATTTTTCATTCTTGAGAGATCTTCTTGCTCCTTGCAAGAGGGAAAATTATTCTATGCGGAATCCGAACATGTTCAAAGACAAATCAGTGCATGCCACATCATGGGACCCAATGCATCCTATGATGTGGCGCGTCTGGATTCGTCTCCGAATACATTCGGATTCCGCACAGAATAATCTCCCTTGCAAGAGAGAGGTAGAGGGAGAAATGAGAGGAAGAAAAATTATTCTGTGCGAATGTCGAATCCCATCCAAAGACCAATCAAAACAAGTCACGTCAACATTGTGGCTCGGTACCACTCGATACTACGATTCAATACCGCTCAGTATCATGCTTGGTATTGCTGACATGACTTATTATGATTAGTTTCTAGATATAGAGCTGCGTTTGGCGTCCGCATAGAATAATTTCTCAGAAAGGAAGAGATGATAGATATTAGAAAAAATCTTCCTAAAATTTATTTTAATTTTTTTCTTCTAATATATCATATATGACCTTTATTTATATATATTTATATTGATGTGATAACTTACCCAAATAAAATAACCTAAAACTAAATTAATTCATAACATTTTATCTTCCTTTTGAAATTGTTGAAACTCTTTATTTGCTGCCTCTTTTTATCTTTTGAGATAAAAGCTGGAACTTCTTGAAAAAAGGATGGCTATACCAAGCAAAACGTATTATATTTCTTACATAAAAATTTGAGTTTGGCAGGTCTGCAGAGTTGTCATTAATAAGTAAAGCCTTGTTTTTGGGCATTTATCACGAGGGAATGGACATCCCAAGAAGCTAATTTTATCACTAACACATTTGGGAAAGGAGCTAACATCTACATATATAATGGCCTATCATCAGTTTTATTAATGTAAGGGCACATGAGGAGGGAGGGGTGGATATTTGTTACAATAAACAAATGCGACTAAGGCTTCATTTGGGACGGTTTTTTTCATACTTTTTAAAAATAGTTTTTTAATACAAAAGTTTAAATTTTTATATTAAAAAACTGTTTTAAGAAGCAATAAAAAAATCGTCCCAAACAAAATCTAAGTAATGATCTTCAAGCAGAAGTAAGGCCTTGGGGCAACGGCTCATCCCAGGTCTCCGAATGCGGGGAAAGAATTCTACGGCACGCATGGAGAACAGCAGAGTGAAATCCTGAAGGGTTGTCTATGAAAACGAAGTGGCCACCCTGCAAATTTTGCAATGCATTCATCGTTATATTTTGTTTAAAATAGATGCATAAGAGAGACGGGGGAAGACATTGCATCAAGAGTTATTTTGTTCTTGTATTTGTGATATGGTTCTCTGTAAAGAGCTTTGATGCAAACAAAATTTCCGCCAAGGATGGATGGATGAAGGAATAAAAGCATGTGGAAGGTGAGAGATTATTTTGTGTGTAGTCTGAATGTGTTCAGAGGTTACTCTGGACGTGTCACGTCATCCAATGTATTGTGTATTGGGCGACGTGAAGAGTCCGGATTGACCTCCGGACGCGTCCGGACACCGCACATAATAATTTTTCGTGGGAGAGAGAGAAACAGAGGAGACCTGGGGAACTCTGATTATGTCGCATGGAACCTTCATGCTCTCTCGTGCTAGTTGTGCTCCTTTGTAACTCATCCAGTCTTCATATCCGTAAATGAAGGTAGTAGGGACTTTCCAATCCGATGAACTGCACATAAAAACAAATTGTTTAACCAAATGTAAAAGTTTAATAGAAGGTTATGCACTTGGTGCATGAGCAGTTCATATTGACTGTAGCCTGAGCAGCTTGCTCGAGCTTCTCTCTTAAGAAACTACCGTATTTTAGGTGAAGAACTTTATCTTCAATTAAAATACCAAATCTTTTGGTGTGATATCTTTTATCTGGTCTGGAGAGGACATGGAACATGAGGAGATGAGTTGTATCATAATATTCGAGAGATTATTATGTGTGGACACCGGATGGAAAAAACCGTCTGATTTTTCTCTCTGTCTACAGTAAAAATGCCGTTACTATAGCAGCTGCGTTTTGACTGCGCTTTTACGATAGCCAGAGAAAATCGGACGGTTCTCTCTATTCAGTGTCCACACAGAATAAAAAGTCCATAATATACAGATGCTGCAGCTTCAAAGCATGGAAACTGGGTAGTACAACTCATTCACTATGAAGTTTTGCTCAGGAAAAAAAAAAAAAAACAGTGATCATGCAGTGCTTGTATTCTGTATCCAGGCATACCACAAAAAAAACAGTACAATGATTCTCATTCTGCATGACGAATCCACAATATATTATGATGCAAACTATCACGTGGAAAAAGTCCATAATATTACATGTTTGCAATTAGAGCCAATGTATACACTATAGATAATCATAAATATAAGCTATAGATCACTATTTTGGAATATGGAAGATAGTGCATTTATTTTATTTCAAATTTAACTGCAGAGCTCACAATATTAGAAGGAAAGAAAGTTTGAATCACAAAGGTAGCAAACCGAGGCAAAATAAAGGAAAAAAGCTCTAGTGAACAGAACTTGAAGCTCAGAAATAAGCAGCTCTAAAAGATGTAGCTTCAAAAGTAGATAGTACTAAACCATGAAAAAATAAAGGAATAAGGGCTCAGTATGGAGAAATTATAGGATGCAAATGACAGACACATGGAGGGACAAATTTCAAAAAGGATCACTGCTCATGTTTAATTAGCAGAAGAAACCTACAAAAAATTAAATTTAAAAAGGATAAAAAACGTAAAAAATATTTGTATTTTTGGTTAAAACTCAAATATTTGTTGTGTTTTCCTAGTAAACGATTTTTTTCCCTGTTTATGTAATTTTATCGATTCCTGTCATTAAGAACCCAAATAAAAGGGGATGTTCCAAATTTTTTTATTAAATAAAGTTGATATTAAATTTTAAAAATTATTTGACAAAATTTATTTCAAAATAAATGATAACTATTTATTCAAATTTAAAAGAATCAAGTTATAAATAAATTTAATTATATTTAATTTAGAATTATATTTAACTCAAATAATGTTAATATACTTAGTAGTTGTTATGCCATTATAAAAAATGTGATATAAATTAAATAAATAATCACTAAATAAATTAATAGGTCCTTATTATTACACAATCCCAAGCCCAAAGAGTGGAATAAACTCCTAGGAGCAACAAGAAAAATCAAGTCCAGTAGAGCCCGCAACTATCCCAGCACGCACTATATGCACCAAGGAATGGAAAAATTATTCTGGGCGGAAGTCGGATCTCGTCCGAATAACTAAGCATGCGGCTCGGTACCACTCTACCGGGGCTTGGTACTGCTCGTTATTACGGCTCGGTACTGCTGATGTGGCTCATTCTGATTGGTATCCGGATATAGAGCTGTATTCGACGTCCGCACAAAATAATCTCTCCAATAAATGAGCCCAAAGTGGCAAACAACCAAATGAGGGAAAAAAACCACAGAGAGAAGTCCAGCAAAATCAGTTGACAAGAGGTAGCCAAAACCAGTCTCTTTTAACTACATCGGTTGAATGAAACTCTCAAGTCCTGCGATAGGCACCTAGAGAGTTGCCATATGAGATAGAAAAAGAAATTTTCCAAATAGGTGGACCAGGGCTAATGATGCGATAATAAACAGACGCAATAATTCTCAAGCGAGCACAAAAAGCTCCACTCATGTTATAGAAAGGCTGTTATCAACTCATTATAGTATGCTGATTACTGAATGCTTATCGAGCAATTTCTAATTTCAATTTCCCCCATTTTCTTACAAAATTTTGGTTGTAAGGATATTTTTGAATTTTCTTTACTGTTTCTCTTTGTATTTGGTTCATCTTTCCATAAGAATAAGATCTCTACATAATGTGTTTAATTATGTTGGGGCAATTGTCTAAAGACTTTAGTATTTTCAAACTTTTAGGGGGGTATCTAAAGACTAAAAAATAAATGAAGGGGGATAAATTACCTAAAGAATCATATAATTATTTAAAAAAAAAATTTTTTTGAGGGGGTTGGGGGGGGGGGCAATTGAGAAATGCATGACTCTCTTCCAAGAGAAAGGGAATTAAAATGACTATCATGTCAAATTACACTTTGTATATTTCAGCAGGCTTGTCAAAATTTTGAATATAAGCAGCTATGTTAAATGAAGAAAATATAACAAACAATCTAAGACCAACGATAAGGAACACAGACAGAAAACTGATTATAAGAAGTCGGCAGAAAGAAATGAGACAGAAGGAAGATTCATAGAAAAAAAAAACAAAAGAAAACAAAATAATAGCTTCTACATAACAAGTGTATCAGAACATGCAAGTATATATTTCATATCCATGAAATTGAATAAGACTAGGTGGATTTTTCAATATGATAAAAGAGAATTGAGCAATATTAAATAACTAAAATTGTAGAAGAAAGTCAAGGAGACAGACCATTGTAGAAGGGGTTTCCGTGCAAATGCTCCAAAAGAGAATATATACTTCAAACATAATTCTCCACTCGCTTTTGCTACCAAAGTATGGTACACGTAGTCTAAATTTATTTAGAAGAGAAAGTAAGATATCATAGCATTTGGAACAAAGGGGAAAGCACCAAAGATACAGATTATGAAATGTACCTGTCAACAAAGTAGCCTCGCCTTCATTTAAGACGCTACCACTAGAGTAAGCACCAAATCTAGCTGTTGTATATCTACGTACTAGATCAGGGCCCCAAGGGCCTAAGCCCCTGCAACACACAAAAAATAGCTTCATTGCAAAAAAATAAATTGATAGTAACAAACATATAGCCCGCAAGAGCCCTTTTACAAAATTGACGAAGAAGGCTGCAAAAGCAGTCCGGTTAAGCACAATTTGATGTTAGGGCTATCAATGTAGCTTGAAGATCAAAGGTTTTACGAGAAATTGAATCTCCTTTTTTTTTTTTGGATTGAAGTAAGCGAGCAAACTGAAAAGCCAATATAAGCTCGGCTCAAACATGAATAAAACTGAGCTTGATTTGGATAGAGCTAGTTCAAGATTGAATCGAAAGTATATATTTGCATGAACAAATGCATAGACATAAATAATATATATCATCTATGCATGTATTAATCTATGTTGGTATAAGAAACTAATTTAGGAGATAAAAAATTAATGATGATTCGATTGATTTTTAGTTCTAATATAACTCGGATTGAAGTTAATGAACTATACTTGACTCGAATCGAACCAACCTATAATAAAAGTTGGCTCAACTCAAGATCAACTTAAGTAACTACGAGCTGATCTTGAGCTGGGGTTGGATCATCCCCAGATCACTAATTACAACCCTATTTGACACACCTTACTACAAATATCACTAATTACACATAAGTTGCTTATATCATAGATTCAAATTGAAGAATTAGAAAATATAACCATAAAAAAGATAGTTATGACCACTCAAAGCGAAAAGAGAGCAACAAATCCTAAAAAACCCGTGTTTGACTGGAATTACAGTTGGGAAACAAAAACTCCACTTTACTACAAGATTAGGAAAATACAAATATTGAAAATTTTGGAGGTACCTAGCAACGCAGAAAAAGAAGATATAGAACATATTTTATACTAGATATTCAGAAACTAGAATTTAAGAAACTTTAATCCAAAAGTTAAAGAGAAATTGGGACAAACAACAAGAACATCTTTATTTGTGCAGGTAAGCTATCTATCATCTAAGATAATTACCGGATAATTTTCATAGGGGTAAAGTTTGATTCCCAGAGATGATTAACAATAGTGCCTTTCCATGTTGCTCTAAATTTAGTTAACCATTCTGAGCTATGTTCTGTCTCTGATGAAAAGCCAGCTGGTCCTACTAAAATCAAGTGCTGAACATGTTCAGGATGCTGCAAGGAAAACAATTGAAAAGATAAATAAGTAAAAGGCACTCAAGTGACGTATTAGATGAGTTTTCTGATAGCGAGATTTACCTTCAGAGCATACTTCGCAGCAACATATCCTCCAAAAGAATGTCCAAGTAAGATAAATTGATTAAGATTTTTTGCTTTACGCCATTCCTCAAAAGAATCTATAAACCACGCCTCAGTTTCTGCAATGAGAAGTCGGCAATTGTCACATGAAGGAATATCCAGTTTGAAATTTCCGTAAAAATGGGAAAAAAGCAATCCAATTACATGAAATCTTCAAACGAAGAAAAAAAAATGGTGCCGGCAAAAATGTTTAGATAACTATTTTATAGAAATGCAAAACAAGAATTTCTTTCTCCCACCCTCCAGCACCCGGCAATTCCTGCAACCCTGCTCAGTACAACCTCTTAGAAACATGCCACACTGGATCCAACCAATCAGATATTTAAGAAATCATTTCATAAAGCAGCCAATTTCAATTCATAGAATGGAGCTAATATCCATTATTCTCACTATCAGTTAAATTTTTATTGTCTAGCAAGGCAGAAGAAGCCCAAGAGCCCTTGAACTTGAAAGTTAGCCTTGGTCACATTTAGCCAATTCTTCCTATGATATAAGATCTTAAAATCAGAAAGGGAAGGGCAAGCCGAAGTTTAGTAAGTGGTCCAGTATCTAAAGTGAGCTTTAGACCAACCTAAATATCCATCAGGTTAGATCAAACGTACAATAGTATAAGAGAAACATCAATACATAATCTAACATAGCCACTTTCCTAATTTATGATCGTATAGTTAAAATGTTCTACAAAGATTATTGATTTATATTCCGCCGATGCACAAAGCAAAAACAATGCAGAGGACAAGAATTTTGATCAGCTGAAGCATATACATATGTAAAAAAAAAAAAGCCAAACACCACTTCAAAAATAATTAAACTTACCTTTTATGAAGTACAAAATCAAAATGCTGCGTTAATAACCTGACCTAGAACACTTGGGAGAAGGCTAAGATGATGATGAAGACATATTGTGCAGACATGAGCATTCCTTACCAGGAAAGAGAAAAGCATTAAACTATACTCTTGCAGGCTTAGTTCCTACATCCAGTTGTATGCTCATAATTGTAGTCTTTTCTGTGCCTAATTATGTCTGAAATGAATTAATGGTTGTGACATTTTCATCGAGAAGCATAAATATATATTGAATAATATTCTCATCCAATCTCATTCAACAATTAACAATGAATAGTGCAAAATGATTTGAACAAAATAAATTAAATACTTCAAGCAACATTTCAAAATAAGTGTAGATTGTAGAATAAAGACTCATAAAGTCTAATAAGGTGATGAGGCAAATAATGAATGATAGAGATGATATTATTTCATCAACAAGTGGTTTAAACCATTTCCAGCAGGTACTCTGAATGCATTAATTGCAGCAGTACTGAGATAAACGCTTAGACATGTAATGACATGTAAAATTTATTTGAACACTGAAGCTGTCCTTCTGCTTTCGAGGTCAGTCATTAAACTGAATAAGATTTATCAAGCTTCATCAACCGATCATCTCTAATCAGCGTATAACTGCATTTCCTAAATTGGGAGTTTATCCATTCCCTCCCAATAATGTCCGCGCCAAGGGGAGAACAAATCACATTTAATTTAAAAGGAGCGTTGAGACAAACCTTCCGTGCTTTTACAGGCAAAGTCCGGTCTACTTGATCCTCCCCAACTGTAGTGAAAGAAAGTTGTAATGTAAGAAAACAATTTGAATAAATTACTCGCAGCCAGGAATTAAAAAAACAATGGATCCAAAAGACTAATTATAAGAAAAGATCATCTAAGAAAAAAAATGCTAAATTTAATATAGCGATAACTATATTAGGTTATCTAAAATGATTATCACATTACTAACATCTTCATTGATCTTATCCCAACCATTTAGGGTCGGCTTTATCACTTCTGGTTCTTCAATCTTTTTCCTAATAAGTGCTGCATAATGTGTTAAGCTGATTTTGAGCAAATATTTATCATAGGTGTACTCATTTTCCTTTTTAATCCATCATCATCAATTTATCTTACCTATCTTCTAGCGCATTTCATACCCCTTATGTACAAGTTCAAATTGGCAAACTTTATTTTTCACTATTTATCTCTCAATAGATGCTCGCAATCTAGCTATAGTAGTGGCAATACTGCTAGCTTCGTTGCTTTTTCGTCCTAGCTATAGGAGCCTCAGGTTCTTGCATTTCGCAGTTTCCTTTCCCAGGACTGTTTCTATCTTTTCTTTTTCTTTTAACAGGCTGAGTTCAGCTAACGATTTTCTTCCTTTTCCAATATTCTACATTAGTAGGGCACAAGAGAAATTCTTGTCAATAGAATTCCAAAGGGGAATTTACTTTCTTCACTTAAAATTGAGTTTAAAAGTTGCTATTTTTTTGCTGAAATCCAAGTTGAAAACTTGATCTAATCCTTGGAAGATTCTAAGAAATAACTTATTTTAGGTTATTTCTGAGGTTATAAGTAGAGCCCTTAAGATATGCAAAAATAATAGAAGTATTACATAGATGTGAATCCTTCCAGCACCTCGCAAATCTTGATGATAAAGTCCCGGGGATGACTCTTATAGTACCGACGTCAGGCCCAAATATTCCATTTGGCGACTTTTATCTTTTATTCTTGTTTCTAAATTATTTAGTGATTGTTGTATGTGAGTCATTGAGTTTTAGTCAAATTTGATACATGCTAGTTTCACTATCATGGTGTGAATCTTAATCACTTTAGAATTTTAAAATGGTTCTCCATTGTCTAATTAGATTTCAAATATTTTATTGTTAATATATCATTTGAAATGAATAAGCATGTTTTCTAATTTTGCATCAAAAGTGGCCAATCCTTGCTTAAATTAAAAGTTGGGAAACTACAAACTATGATTTTATGTGTTTGTTTGTTCACCTCATCCTAGGTTTGCATTACTAATCCTATATCCTAAGAAGTCCTATGCCAAATTGGTACTCAAGATGGTGGTTGCATCATCATATCAACAAAAATTAGGGCACAATAATTAGATTTATTATGTCATAATTGACGATATTCCCCACCTTTTTATTTTCCCATTATATCGATCCAGTATACATATATGAAGAATCCCTAATCAATTGATAATACATATAATTTTTCAGTCTAACATGGTATCAAAGTATGGTCAATTCTAACCCTAGTTACCCATTCCATCATTTTATCATTTCTAACATAGGATGAGAATCCAATATTCACTCATTAATCATCATGCATGCACTCATTCGCTCGCATATCCTACACACTATCACCACGATCGTGTCTTTGTCAGAGACCTAGCGCCCACTCCTAGGACTTCACCCATACTCACTCATCCAGCGCCCACTCGCCCAACCTCAACCCCTGCTCAAGCGACCTTAACAACCACTCCTCATACTTATTTTATATCAGTACGCACCTAATGCCTTATCTGCATGCACCCACTAGCCACATACTATCAACTAACCTAGCATCGGCTCATATATGATGCACCCCTAGGCACCTATAACCACTGCATGTACTTGATGCTTTTTTTTTTTTTTGCATGTACTTGATGCCTCTATTGGCACTTGCCCCCAACTTAAGATATGATCATTCGTATTGTGGGTACCAAAGGGGACTCTCGTCGAACCGACAACATGAGACTAAATGGATGCTAGGTTATGCCGCAAATACCCTATCCCTCAAGTGGAATCCGTGAAGAGGGTAACCATACCACCTCAAAAGGTAGAGCGAGTCTCAACACAAACTCAAAGGGTAGTGATTTGTGCGACAGAGCCATATTCCTCTGCATAGTGAGGCACATCGAATATAGTTTATTTAGATTCCGAGGTTCTGACTTCCCATGAACATAAATTAGTAGGATTAATTATATCTTGAGCATATTACTAGAAGTATACTCTTGATTTTTTTAATGGAATACTCTTGATTATGAGTAAATATTCACGTCTTTAGGGTTTATTATATAAGGGTGTGTATGTGTGCGACCCAATGAAAGTAACAGTAGTAGCGAAGCAGGTAATCCAGAAAAGTAAAAAAATCTAAGGAATAAAATGATTACTATATTATTGCATAAGAATGATATGTGATTTACAATGCATTTACCTTATCTAATCATTATAAGATAATGATTAATACAATATAAATTCTAGGGCTTAGATCTACAAAAAGAATAGACACAAAATTGGCAAGTAGCTAACATGATTCAAGCCTAGCATAGCTAACAATTTGGACCGAGGGACTTGTTGGTAAGGAGACTACGGGGTCCACATAATACAGTGTGGCCAACCCAATCACTATAAGCTATATGGCTGAAGGTGGGCCTAGAGAGTTGTCAATTTAAGAGCCGATGGGTGGACAAGAAGGATCAAATTGACAAACCAAATCCAGGAGCTCTAATGTCAGCCCTATAGAAGGTACATGATGGATTAATCGATTTAATTGGGAGGAAATTAGGAAGTTTCAAAATAAAGAGGGAACTGTTTAGAAAGGTTCTTAATTAAGGGGGATTAATTAGGATTTATTTTCTAATTGAAGAGCATATTTGGGGACTGATTTAGAGGAGAATAATTAGAAAATATTTTTTAATTGAAGAGGCTGATTTGGAGGGGATTAATTATGAGATGTTTCCTAATTAAGGGCAGATTTGGGGGATGATTAATTAGGAGATGTTTACTAATTGGAGAGGGCAGATTTGGGAGCCGATTTGAGAGGGAATTGGGGGAGGCTATTTTGGAATTTGTTATTTATTGTTTGTTATAAATAGTAAGGTTTATGTTGTGTTTTGTATTTTGTGAGTGATTGTTGTCCACAGTTTTTGTGAAAGATTCTAGCGGCATCTATGATTTGGGAGAGAAGACCCTTCTCTCAAAAGAGGACCATTGTACCTTGTTTTTGTATATTTCTGGGTATATCAATAAAAAAATTAGTTGTTTGCTAAATTTGTCCTTGTTCCTTGGTTGTTTTTGATACTAAGGCGTATTAAATTAGTATTAGAGCACTTTTTTGGGAACTATGGAGGCAAAGAAGGTGGATGTATTGGAAGGCAAAGTGGACCAACTCAAATCCCGATTGGTGGAAAAGTTCTTAACCATCGAAGGAAGGCTTTCATACTTGGAAGAAAGACTTTCTAACCTAGAGGACATGATGAAAAAAAAAATATTGGAGTTTCACACTCAAATGATAATATCGGAGGCAAGGGTGACCGGACAAGAAAGTGGGAGAAATCCTAATAAAGGGATGATGAGGGAGGATGGGGAGATGGGAATGTTGGGGGAAGAAGATGAGATGTCACCTTTGAAGCCACTTCCAAAGAGGGGAAAGAGTGAATGGAGTGGGATTTTTAGTGGAGTTGCATAGTTTGGAAGGAAAAGAAAATAGGGAGAAGATATAAGCACCAGAAATGGTTCAACTACTCCTACAACAATATCGAGAGGTGTTCCTACCAGTTTAAGGGTTGCCTCCTCCTCCTGAACATGAGCATGCTATCATTTTAAAGGAAGGAGTCTCACATAATAGTGTTCATCCGTACCGTTCTCTCCAACTCCAGAAGGATGAGATCAAGAGATTGATTAGGGAGATGCTGGAGACACGGATCATTCGATGCAGTGACAGTCCATATTTCAATCTAGTGCTTTAGCAACAGTTTCTTTCGTTCCACCTTGATAGCAATGTGACACTTTGGGAGATGAGTATTGATGGACATTTCGATTTGATTGGGAGGGAATTAGGAAGTTTCCTAATCAAGATGAAGCTATTTATGAAGGTTCTTAATCAAAGGGGAATTATTAGGAAAATTTCAATTAAAATGAGGCAATTATTTAGGACAACAATAACAACAACAACATCAAGCCTTTATCCCACTACGTGGGGTCGGCGCAATTATTTAGGACAAGATATTTAATTTGAATTCTGATTTGGAGGGGACTAATTAAGAGATGTTTCATAATTAAAAAGGGCATATTTGGGGGCTGATTTGGAGGGGATTAATTAGGATATGTTTCCTAATTAAAGATGTCATATTTGGGGGGCTGATTTGGGAGAGAATTGAGGGAGGGTTGTTTTGAAATTTGTTGTTTATTGTTTGCTATAAGTAGTAGGGTTTATGTTATGTTTTATATACAGAATTTTGTGAGTATTTGTTGTCTACTATTTTTGTGAGGAATCCTAACAGCGTCGAGGGTTTGGGCAAGATGGTCCTCCTCTCGAAAGAGGACCATTGTATCTTGTTTGTTCGTATTTCTTTTCTTATAAGTAAAAAATATGTTGTTTGCTGACTTTGTATTGGTTCGTTAGTTATTTTTGATAACCAATCGTTGGTTATTTTTTATAACCAAAGCATACAAAAAAACAAGTAGAGGAGTGTGTAGAGGGGTGATTTTGACCATACAAGGAGTCCAGGTGAGGGAGAACTCTCTCCCATTGGAGTTAGGGAACACTAATGTCATCCTAGGAATGAAATAGCTGTAGAAGTTAGAAAAGACCAAGATTGATTGGAAGACGCTAACGATGGAGTTCAAGGTTAAATGAAGTAAAGTAGTTATTAGAGGGGATCCTAACCCATCCAAAATTATAGTTTCACTCAAAACCATGATCAAGGGGATAAAAGGAGCAAGCTTGGGCTATTTAGTGGAGCTGCAAAACCTGGAGGAGGTCCAAGACTCGGCATTGGCCAGG